ATGGCAAATGGGTTTTAATTATAATAACTGCAAGATAATGCATGTGGGTTATCATAATTTGAATTAAAAGTATAATTTGGATGAGAATAAGCTGAACAGTGTCATGAAAGAAATAGATCTTGGTGTTATGGTTGATAAGCTTAAACTATCCCAGCAGTGTGCTGTTGCTAGTGCTAGGGCAAATAGGATTTTAAATTTTATCTACAGAAATATTGAATACAAGTCTAAAAAGTTATAATTTCATTGTACAGGTCACTGGTTATACCACATTTGGAAAAGGTTACTAGAATGGTGCCTGGGATGGAGGGGTTGTTGTACAAGGAGAGGCTGAAATCTCCCAATTGTTTTCTCTTGAAAAAAGAAGAGTAAGGGGGATCTCATTAAGATGTTTAAGATTGTAAAGGGAATTGTTAGTGTTGATGCATCATCTTATTTCATAATTAACAGTGAGAATAGTAGGATTAGGAGACACAAATATAAATTTTGGCAGGGTAGGACTCATCTTCAGCTAAGAAAATTTCATTTTTCTAAAAGGTGGTTGGCCTTTCAAATGGTTGCCTTCGGATGTTGTAGAGGCAGTAAATTTAAGAAAAAGCTTGATAAGTAAAAGAATTATAAGGGCTGGCTTTAAGATTTTTTTTTAATTATTTTAATTTAGTTTATAGATGAAACAGCTGAGATGGACCAATAGGTCCTATGTTGTCCCAAAAACCTTATTTTATGTTAAGTTACAATGTTTGATTAGAACAAAAATAAATTAGACTACGAATATTGTGGTTACACAAAAAACTACAAGTCAATGTATTTTTACACCTAATACGGCATTTATAGATAGTAGAATGTTAGGAAATTAATGAAAATTTCATTCACACCATATAGAGATTTACTAACTAAAACACCATTTACTACTTTACCAGCCATTAAATGCAGTTTTTGTAAATTATATTTTTTTGTGTGCCTGCAGAAAAGAGTGATACATTTTCATTCATTATATATAGGACTAAGTTACTTTTTCTCAGTATCTGCACATATTGAAAAACAGTACAGTATACTCAACATCCATTGATCTCATAAAGGCACTTCAGTTTCTTGCCATCTGGTATCCAGAATTGACATAATTAAAGTCACAGGTGTAAAAATGTTTGAACAATTTAAGAACTTTTTCAACACAACTCATTCTCCATACATGATTCCTACCAGTTCAGGGTTTTCCTCAACTACTTTTAGCTTATCAGTAATATTAGGTTTTTATTTTTGTCATTACCTTTTTCTGTGTACCAATACTCTAAAATATGTTAGAGATACTCTTCGTTTGATAGGTAATTGTGCTCTCTAATGAGCTGTTGACCATGAGCAAGTGTTGTTGGTTCCCAAAAACGCATCTGGTACAATAATATAAGAGAAGTGTAAACACACTACATCATGTTCACACTGGTTCATGATATTTTTGTTGTAGTATTTTCAGGCCTGAACTAGTGCAGTTGCACTTCCAGCCTGAAAAGTTTCTTCATTGTAGGGTTTTATATTTTTTCAGGGTAGCACCTTGCTATTTAATAGTCAATGAGTGAAAGGTTGCTTGAAACTACAAATGAAAATCCCAAGATATTTCCCATAATGCCTCAAATGAACAAAGTTTTCCTGAGCCTTGTTCTTTTTCACAGCTTTTTATCATATTTTCAAATACAAAATAATACTGGTATAATCTGAAGCTAAAGAAAGTTAGGTTAAAAGATGAAGACTATCATAGTTTTTCCTTTTTCATTTCCATGATTTACTATTCTTAAGAAAAAGTGCTCATATAATTGAAGTATTTCTACATCACTAGCTAGTTAAGGGAGTGATAATTACTCACATTTTGTTGTTTTGCAGTTTGTGCAGTGTGTGAAGGCTGAATATTTACGCCGTCTTGCCCACAAGTTGCCAAAAAACATCCTTGACAAGTCTTGGCCCCATGCTCCTGGATCTTGCCTTAAGGTAAGGCATTAAATTCTATAGAGTATTTCCTTTGGTGTTATAATAACATTTTGTTGTATGTATATACACTAAACCTTTTCCCACCAATCTCACCATCATATTATAATGATAACCTAGATTTGCCATCTTTATCTGGAATCTGCCAAATAAAGGTTTGTTTCACTTCATTATTGTTGATTAAAAGTGCCTACTTGATGAACATATGTAGTTGATAATCAAACCTGTCTTACATATTGTTTAAGTGAGTTCAAATCTACTTTAGAGCTGTAACTCTTTTTCTTTAATTTTAAATGTCCAGTGTTTTGAAAGTGGCATATAGATACTCGTAGATGAATTAATGACATATCAAAAATAATTTAGTGCTTTAACAGTGAACAAGAAATTCTTTATCACTTTGCAAAATTACAAAGAAAGAGTTGTTATTATTAGATGAATGTTAAAGTTAACTTTGTGGACTTTTGTATTGAAAATTTTTGAAAAGCAACAATAATAACTAAGAATCTTGGGCAATAAAATTCTATAACGAGTGAAAGAACGTGTCATTTTTATAAATGTTTACTATTGTTAATTTTAACCCTCTCTCCCTGGCCATCCTTTACGTTGCTTGTCACAAGGTTTTAATAACTTACATTCAAATTTTAATTAAACTACTTTTTGTTTATGTTGTACCAATTACTATAGCCTAAAATTGTAGCTAATAATCCATATTTTAATAGTATATAAGTTTTAAGTTCTTAATTTTATCAGGAAATATTTTAAAAAATCATGAATTTCCCCCAGTGTGAGAAATGTGACATATTTTCTCCAGGCATCTCCTCTTCTTTATTTTATTCAACACCCAATAAGTACGAAATTTAATATAAATTACTCACTATAAAATCGTCATTGCTCAGACAAACCATAATTTTTATAGCTTTCAATCTTGTTTGGTT